AACCATGGACAACATGGACTTGGATTATTATCACAGGATTTTCTGGTATTTACTGGATCATAAAAGTGATGATAGAAAGTATAAACACAGCATTGATCAGGGGAATAGTCAAAGCAACACTAATAAACACTTAGCAGGAAGTGAAAAGGTCATTTCAGATTCATTCAGTAGTTCAGTTTTATCACTGAGCAGCTAAAAATAGACGCATTAATTAAACATGTTGACATTAATTTCTGCTGTCATGGAATCAATAGTTAGAAAGTCAGAGATGAAGAGTCTCCAGATGATCAGATCATCTCCAGTTTCCTCTTTAAAACTCACAGTTTCAATCTGATCAATAAGTTTTGATTTGGATCATCAGAGCTGCTGCTTGATCACTGAGATCTTCATCGGTTCCATCTTTAAGGTTTTATCAGTGAAGAAATATGGAAACATCTTGTGAGTGAAGGTGTGTGTGATGGTGTGTATGTGTGTGTTAGTATCCAGATCAGAGAAGGACAGCTTTCCTCTGTCCCAGTCCAGATTCACTCTGATCCTCTGGAGATTCTTCTGGACTGAGAGACAAGTGGGAGGAGCTGATGGAGAATATGCTGAATATTCACCTTCATTGAACATTATAACCAACAATCCAGACCAAATGATTCCCTTCCTCTGAACAGACTCTTCCAACACACCGAGTCTCCAGGATGAACTGTCTCCAACATCAACATCCCAGCTGTGGTTCCCTGAGGTAAAACCATCAGAACTCAGAACAGAACAGTAATAATCATCAAATCTCTCTGGATTGTCAGGAAGCTGCTGTTTCTCTCCTGCAGTCAAACTGGTCAGATCTTCAGACAGATGGAGTGCTTTACCAGCCGTGTTGGGTCCAGAACCAGAGGAGTGTAGGTCACCATGGTCTGCATGTTGCTCCAGATGTTGAAGGCCAGGTTGCCCAGATGTTTGGCCTGGTCTATCAGAGCTCCTGAGGGCAGCTGTGGATCCTCCAGCAGGGGGCAGCGCTGGACTCTTTCCACTGCAGCCTTGTAGTTGTGCAGGAATGAGACGTCTTCAGCTCTCAGCTCCTCCTCTGTGGCTCTGACTGTGTCTGAAAGAGTGCTATCTCTCTGCTCAGAGCCTCCATCTTCTCCTTCATCATCCTCTCTTCTGCTCCTCTTCCTCCCTCAGTGCAGCCAGCCTGGCCTCCTCTTCCTCTGCTAGAAACTGATGAAGCTGCTTAAACTGCTCCCTAATCTGCCTCTCTGTGTGTCGGGCCTGGACCTTCAGGTGTTCTGCTGTCTGATCAAACTCCTCCTGAACTTTCTTCCTGAGCTCCAGCTTCTTCTTTAAAGGCTCCAGAGTTTCCTGAAGCTTCTTCTTGTGTTGCTGAGCAGCTTCATTGATGGGTTTAAATCTGTGGCTAATGTGTAAAATCTGAATCTCTGCAGATGACACACACTGGCTGCTGATGGTCCAGACAGAAGAGTTTGAGTTTCTCAGAGTGCAGACTGCAGAGATCCTCTGAAGCTCTCTGCTCTCTCTGCTGTAAGAAAGTCTCAATCAGATTCTTCAGAGCCAGATTAAAAGGTAAAATCTCTTTAGAAGATCTCCTTTTACAAACTGGACACTCTCTTCCTGGTTTCTTCTCCAGTATTTCTGCAGACACTCCTTGCAGAAGCTGTGGCTGCATGACAGAAGAACCGGATCCTTAAATATCTCCAGACAGACCGGACAGCAGAGATCATCGTCTGATCTGGAAGCCATTTTGTCTCAGAGTGAAGCTGAAACCACAGCAGACAGAACGTCAAACCAGGAAGTCAGTTTCTCTCCTGTAGAAACTTTTTGAACTTACTTTCACTTTGATCTGCTTGTTGTTCCTCCTGCAGCAGTCTGTGTTCCAGTGTCTAGTTGCTCAGTTCTCTCTCTGTTCTCCTTGTTCAGTTTGATTTCAGTCGGAGACAAAGGCAGGTGTCAGAGTTCTTCCTCAGGGTGTTTACTCAATCAGTTTTTCTCTCAACTGTTTCCTGTTCATTTTTTCCAAGACTTCCTGTTGGAATTCCAGTGTGGAGGCAGATATGTGGCGCCCTCTGGAGGATTTTCTGTGCATCTGCAGTTTCAGAAAAACAACAATACTGGTGATGATGGTAGTTTTGGTGTTGAGTGAAATTCTCCTGGCAAAAATAATATATATATATTTTTGAATGAACTAATTCATAAACACATTCACAGTAAAGCTTTTAGTTCTTTATCAATAATAAAAACCTCACTGTACTTCTGGATATTAATGATCAATATCAGTTTCCTTGCTGATCAATACTGAATAAAATTGATTCTGTATTCAGATTCAACAGCTGCGATTCAAATCTTGGATTCCTTAAAATAATTCATCAATCTAATGTATTCATGTTAAACTCAGAAGTACATTGAGGCGTCATTATCCAGGATATTTTTATCGTTTTAATAGTTTTCCAAGAACACAGACATACAGTGAACAGTTTGACTCCCTCTAACTAAAGTTACAGAGCCACTAATGTGACGAGAAGCAGTTGATACCAAACAAAAAAGAAAAGGTCATTACTTTAACTATACAGTTGGTGTCAGGCTCCGATGAATGATCCATTTCTTCCAGCATCTGTTGTATTTATAAGTGGCAAGTCTTAATGAAAAGGTCAGTCTCTCCATTCTGTGAATTTCCTCAATTATGTCCTTCCAGTCCGAACATGATGGTGGTTCCACATCAAGCCACCTGCGAGTTACAGCTTTCTTTGCAGCTGCTAATAGCATCAACAGGTGATTTCTATCAGACGTCTTCAGTTCCTGGGTAAATTACCAGGAAAACCACAGGAAACCACAGCGTCAATTTAAGCCCATTTTAATATGGATTTCTTTCATGACTTCTGACCAGTAGGGGGCGATCTTAATACATTCCCAGGAACATGAAAATGTCCTGCAGACACATTCCCACAGTTCCTCCAGCATTTTGCCTTTTCAGCGTCGTTACAATGTTTGCTTTTAATATCAGGTGCAACAAAAACTCATCATGAATTTCCAGGAAATTCCTTCCAGGCTGGAACTTGAGGTGTGAATCACAGAATTGCATATATTTAACCAAACATCATCAGTTATCCATATTTTGGCTTCTTTTCCCCATTTACCTGAAGATATGTTGTTACATTTCCTCTCTGCTTGTAGACACGAGTTGCAGGAGCCAGATACATTACTACTCTGGACTTAAGTAAAGGATACTGGCAGGTGGCACTGGCACCAGAAGCCTGCAAGCTGACTGCATTTAGAACACCATTTGGTATGTATCATTTTAAAGTGATGCCATTTGGCCTGCAGGGAGCGCCTGCCACCTTTCAAAGACTTATGGATCATGTTTTGAGGGATGTGTCTAGTTTTTCAGCAGCTTACTTGGATGATGTGGTTGTGTTCAGTCAAACCTGGAAAGACCACATGTCCCATTTAAAACAAGTGTTAGCATGCATTAGAGCAGCAAATTGAGCTACTGTGAGCTTATGGAGAGTGGGGAGGAAATGTAATGAAGGTTCATTATGTGTGTGAAAACATTTTAAATGTATTGAATTGTTTACTTAGATTGGCTTATCTCAGTTCTTTCCTTATAAGGGTTCTGGGAGAGACCAAATATAGAGGGGGAGCAAAGCACTGTGACTTTTAGAATTTATTAATTGGATTGATATTTATAAGAGTATTTTTAGAAATGAAATGATTGCTATGAAATGAAGTGTTTAATATTATGTGAAGATGTTGTCTTGTTTGTGTATATGTATTTTGTTTTATCCTGCTTTTGGGGGCTGTGAATTGGTGCAGCCAGGGACTATAAAAGCTGACAGGTTGCCCACATGTGGGTGTGGCTGCTGTGGGAATGCATTTTCCCCTTTGTATGCAGGATTGTTTGTTTCAATGTTGGTGATTAAACACCTGGTTGGTCTGCACTGCATCTCTCTGCCTCAAGACTCCTCTTTTAAAGCCTGCCGCTAAGGGTCATTCTAACACTTCACTATGTTTATAGAAAAATGTCCCATTTTCATAAGCCAAAAACAAATCCTTTTAACAAGCCATGCACCATGCTGCACTGTTTCAAAAAGTTATAAATCACGTCATGTTAAAGGACAATCAAATATTTAGAAACATCACATACTTTTAAATAAATCTTGTCACATTTTGGACCAATTACTGAATCTGCTGCATTTTAACAAAATTATAGACATTAACTGACATATCATGAACACATGTTTAAATTGAACAAAATTGTTAAATGTTTTAATTTATATTTGCCATGGCTCTGCAACTGACTGTGGCCACTGACATCTGGTCCTTGTTAGTGAGAAGGCTGACATTGCATGCTGTTCACCAGTGCACTGTATTCTGGTGGGTAACTTGACTCTGCAGCTGTGAGTCTTCCAGATGTGCATCAGTGAGGCGTGTTCTGTGTTGGTTCTTCATGAAGTTCATATCAGAAAATGCTGATTCACAGAGAAAGGTTGAACCAAACCGGCTGGCAGCCTTCAAAGCTGCTGTGCGAACACCGCTGTACTTCTCTGTGTCAACAAGGCACCAAAAGTTTGGTGCAGACCTGTGGGCTTTGAGGAGGAGCTCATTTTGCAATGTTATGATTTCAGTCTCCACCTGTCCAGCATCCAAGCTGAACATTGCACTAAGTTGCTCAGCAAAGCAAGTTGTGTTCACATTCATGAAAGGATTGGAAATAAATGACACACACGTCTCAAGCTGATCAAGCCCACACTGTAAAAAGTGATGCACGGAGCTGTTCATTCAAGCTAATAACTACCATTGAATACATTGTAAAATAATTGACTTGATGGTGAAAGTCTTTTTTTTGCATTCTGAGGTGTCAATTTTGATTCAGACTGAATGAATCACACTTCTGAAGGAAAGAAAGCAAATATTTTGATTCCTCTCAAACATACTGACAGGAAATGATGTAATAATGTGAATCTGAGTCACGTGAGAAGAAGTTGTGGAGAAGTGCTTGGAGAGCATCGTCCGTTTCGGCAAGGGGAAGAAAGAATGATTAACGTCCTAGCATTTAATCGAAGAATAAACCTGCGGTAAGTACTAACCTAAGCTGATGTCTTAACAAGCCTACAGTTGTATTAATGCAAAAGACTGAGTTAATGTCACCTGGTTAGCAAGCTGAAGGTCCCGCCTAAATATGGGTATCCCAGTAAACGCTTTCTTTTTTCGTCGGGTTAAATGTGGTGTCATTTCTGAACTTACACGTATTTCACGAGAAATATCACTATGTGTACATTGTTCGGTTGTAGCTGGAATTAATCAAGGTAGGCATAATTCGTTACCAATCAATCGCTTCCACCACGGTTAGCTCGGCTACACCGTGAACTTGACTAGCTCAGCATATTAAGCCATGTTAGCAATTAGTTCGTCTAGTGTGTTCATACCAACCATTTAAAAAAAGAAAAACATGTGCCACCTATGAGTACATTAATCGCAAAATAACCATTTTGATTGTCCCTAAAGGGTGCTGATGCAGATTTCAGAAGGGAGTGTATCCTCAAAGCTCTCATCATCTACCTGGGAGAACGTGTTGAGGACCTTATAAAGGAATACATGGTATGTCCAGATATTTTCTGTCACAATGATGATTCAACTTTATTCATCACAGGAGACCACCTATGCCATTATACAGTATAGTGATTAATGAGGTGTGCCAGACTGCAGTTGTTCAGTTGCATATTTCCTATATTTTGCCTCAGGTCTCCCAGAAAGATCAAGCCAAGCAGGAGCTGGAGAGGACCATCATGGCAGACTTCGTCTTCAGAGAGAATTCAAGCCTTCTACAGCAGCCCCAAGACGTTGGGATTGTCATTGATGGTGTGGAAGTCCTCCATGAGTTGCCTTCTGTTGCAGCCGGAGTTGTAATGCTCTTTGGACTTTGCTATGCTCTTATCATGGAGTATCCACAGGGTTTCAGGTTCACCTTTGAGGCCCTTCAGAAGATCCTGATGGAGCTTGGTTCCAACAAGATGACTTCCAAGATTCGCAAACTCAGTGGTGAACTCAAAACTGCACAGTGGTGTATATTTGTGTGTGCTTAATGTGTGCATGTAGTTGCCACTGGCTTCTATTTAAGAGGTAGACCACCTCAGCAGCACTTTGCTATACAGGCTCACGGTGTCACTTTCATGGACTGCTTTTGTTGGAACTTTACTTCTTTGATGATGTTTAGAGATGCAACATTCCTTCATGTGTTTGAACAGTACAACAGTGGATGCTTTCCATCCATTTAATTTAGCTTGGTAAGCCTTTATTATTGCATGAGCAACAATGACATGTTTATATGTGTTTGTCTGAACATGCCACTTTTTTTCTCCTTTTTTACTTGTGAGGAATAAATGACTGAAAAAATGTTGCTGCAGTGTTTTAAGTGTGATGTGAGTGATGCAATAGTTTTTTAAACCAAATTTATAAAATATTAAAAAAAAAGACTTTCATGGTGAAAATGAATTAACTCGTGCTAATGCCTGAATATTACTTTGGTGCAATGTATATATATTTGATTGGTTCAATGTAAATATTTTACTTTGGTTCCAAAACTGAAATGTAAATAATTTAACTTGGATAAAGGTGAAGAATTAATATTACCTCAAGTACAATAATATGGTTTGAATCAAAATTAAATAGCCATGTTGACTTTATTTACATTCTGTGAAGTCAAATATTTTAGATGCAACAAATGGACATCAAATTTTTTACTTTAAGCAAGGCCACACTTTTTCCAGTGCATAAAACCTATTCTCAAACTCCTGCCCAAGTCTGTTTATGACTTCACAGAACTTTTCTGCAACTATTTCAAATGTCTTAGATGCAGAAGTGTTGTCTTTCAGCACAGACTGCACAGAGGGAAAGTGCACCACGTTTTTTCTCTGTAAATGACATGTGAAAATGTTGCCTTTAAATGAATTTAAAGCACTTATCATATCAATGACAGTCTTGTCTTTGCCTTGCAGCTCGTAGTTCAAGTGATTCAGTTTCCCAGTGATGTCCGTCAAAAATGCCAGTTCAAGTCTCCACGCTGTGTCCTCCAGCAGTGAGACATCTTCACCTCGGGACTGCATGAACTCTTTGATTTCATCCAAAAGTGACAAAAAACCAATTAAAACTCGCCCCCTGCTGAGCCATCTGATGTCGGTGTGTAGCAGCAAGTCACCATATTCAGCTGACATCTCCTCCAATAGCAACTTGAAAATTCGGTGCTGTTTTGCTTTGGATCGGATGCTATTTATCATTTTTACAATGGGGCTCATCACACGCTCAAAGCCGATCACTTTTGCACATAATGGCTGCTGGTGAATGACAGTGATGATGCAGAAATGTGGGAAAGTCTGGGTCACCTTGACAGTGAGCGATGAAACCTGTATGTCGGCCGATCATAGCAGTTCCCCCGTCTGTAGTCAACGCTACCAGCTTTTCCATCGGCACCTTTCTGTGTATGAAAAACTCCTTCACCGTTTTAACAATGTCAGCTCCCCTTGTGGTTGTCTTTAAGGGGATTAACGTCAGGAGTTCCTCTCTGGTGGAAAAATCTCCAAAGACCATCCGGACGAAAATCAATAGCTGCGCTGTACTGCTGCTGTCCACGGACTCGTCGCACTGGATGCTAAACCACCTGCACCTCGCCAGATCCTGATCCAGCTGATCAGCCAAGTTACCAGACATAACTGACACTCGTGCATCGTAGAGGCCCCAGTTGTACGTCAGAGAGAGTGGAGATCAGATCGGCTCCATTTCTCTCATCCTTGAGAACAGTGTTAGCAATAATAATCACTGCTTCTTTGACAACTTCTCCGTCTGAAAATGCCTTCTTCTTCTTTATCAGAAAATGTGTAGCTCTAAACGAGGCTTCCGTTGTTTTTTGGGACTTTTTTGTTGGTCTTTTGAAAAAAACAACGACTGTTGCCTCCCCAAAGCTGCCTTGAGCTCCCGGGGTTTTTCTGTCCGCAATGCGCTTCCGGTGGGTAGTTAGCATTGTAGCTTTTATGACATGTAGTGAAGTGTCTCCACATTGTGCCGCTTCGCCACAGTCGCCCCGCAAATAAGACACACACAGGTTCCCTTCACACACAGTTGTAAAAAAGAACTCCTCCTCCCATTCGTTTTTGAAATGAGAAGTTTTCCTTCTTTTTTCTGTCATCCGACCAAAAAAACAACCAACCAAATCAAAATCAAATCAAATTTTATTTGTATAGCACATTTCAGCTACAAGGCATTTCATAGTTCTTTACATCATAAACACAAAACACAAAGTCATGCAGCATAGAATAAAATGTCAAGTGGTATTTTTATTTTTTTGTCACGGAATCTAAGCGCCTGTTTTCGCCGAACTCCGCTGTCCGTTTAACCACGGGTATTCGCCGGGCCCCGTTGCCCACAACAGGAAAAAAAAGTACATTGTTACATATTACATTTCAAATAAAGTTCTAAACAGGTGAGTTTTTAGTTGAGATTTAAAAGAAGTCAGGGTTTCTGCTGTTTTACAGTTTTCTGGAAGTTTGTTCCGAATTTTTGATGTGTAACCGGATCCGATCTGCGTTGTGCTGGTTTTAAATGATCAGGCCGTGGTTCACCTTTAAAAGGGTTTATTCTGACAAGAATAACAAATAGAAATAGCCGTGTTACCGGCTGCCCGCTCCAAGCCCTACATAAACAAAAGTACATAACAGAAATTAACTTAATAAATCTATAAATAAACTGGATGTATTTAGATACAAAATAAATAATACACACCTCTCCCACAGGACAACATGACGAAAGGGGAGGGTCTAAGGGACGCAAACATTTTAAAGGCAATACCACAGAGGAAGAAACAAAAGGGGAGGGGCTTCCGTTCTTAAAGTAACACAGTTAAAACAATAACAGAGATTTTCAGTCAGGTAGGAACCCATACAAATAACCAAAGAAAAACATTTTGAGTAATTATAACAACATATAAATTCAACCAGGTTACACTCACGCCGCTAGAATTACACAAAATGAAGGAAGCAGTGGAAAAAAAACTTAATACCAGGACAAAATACTTTTTTTCAACAATGTAACACATCAGCAAAACAGCTACCCTACAGTAGGGTCAGGATACTAGAGATTGCTTGACGCCTAGCAAAATCTCACAATATCCTATGGACAACAAGAGGTGCCTTTTACACCCCCCTGATACAGAGTAAACATATAGATGGTACTGAAGCTTATACAACCCAGAAAAGAACAATCCTAGCCAGGAATCATTCAGCAAAAATTTGGAAATCACACATCAATAACATTTTGAACATTACTCTTATCATAAAGCGCCTCAATAACAGCCATGGACTCTATCAGTCGACAAACTGGTTTAATAACCCTCCCAAAGCGTGAAGTCAGGCGGCGAACAACATCCCCTTCCACACTGTCTGGAGGATTAACAGGACCAGCATCATCAGGATGATGAGGTAAGGAACCAGCGGTTGCTAGTACTCCAGTTTCCATAGAGGAGTTCTCAGGGTCATGAGGCAGGTCACTAGTCCCACCTGATGGAGCCAAGTACACATCCTGAACCCAAGCAGCAGTACGGTCATCCGCATCACTGCAGGGTAGAGATTCAGGTAGGGAAGGCTCAGCAGGACCAGCATCAGGCGCCTCACTGGAACATTCTGTTCCGTATAAATCAGGAACTGGGGGGACTCTAACCACACTGTCAGTATGGTGGTTCACATTTCCATCCAGTGTCATCCCACAGGTAAAAAGGTCACATCAAGAAGGAGGTTGCGATGCACCACACGCTCATTGCCGTGACGGTCCCTAATATGGTAGATATGGAGAGCAGGTTTAGATGCAACCACCGTGTAGATCACAGGCTCCCATTTATCAGAAAGCTTCCGCTTCCCTCTGGCTCCCTTGTTTGCCACCAAGACCTGATCTCCAACTGACAGAGGGTGACCCTTGGCTCTCTTGTTGTACTGGTCACGTTGATGTCTCTGCTCTTTACTGGTGCTCTTCTCCGCTATTAGCATGGCAGAGCGCAGATCTTCAACCAGTGATTTGACATAAGTGTGGTAGTCACAAATAGTGTCATCATGAAGAACATTTCGAAAAACGAGGTCAACAGGCAGCCTAGGAATCCTCCCAAACATCAGATAGAACGGTGCAAAGCCAGTGGTCTTATGGACTGTGCAGTTGTAAACAAAAGTCAGAGACTGGATCATCTGAGGCCATTTATGCTTCGAACGTGGAGGAAGAGATCTCAACATGTTGCCCAGGGTGCGATTGAATCTCTCTGCAGTCCCGTTACCCATTGGGTGGTAGGGTGAGGTGTGTGATTTGCTGACACCACTCAACTCCAAAAGCTCAGCAAGCAATTCACTCAAAATTTGCGCCTTGGTCCGAGTGAATACGCTGGGGGAACCCATACAAATAACCAAAGAAAAACATTTTGAGTAATTATAACAACATATAAATTCAACCAGGTTACAGGTGCATAGATGCTGAAAGCTGCTTCTTCTCTCTTGGTTCTGGTTCTGGGATGCAAAGCAGAACCAGAACCAGAACCTGAGAGTCTGGAAGGTTGATACAACAACAGCAGATCTTTGATGTATTGTGGTGCTAAACCGTTCAGTGATTTATAAACTAACAACAGTATTTTAAAATCTATTCTTTGAGCTACAGGGAGCCAGTGGAGGGACTTTAAAACTGGTGTTATGTCTCTATCTTCCTGGTTCTAGTGAGAACCAACCAACCAACACTCCCATCTGCGCTGCTCTATAATAATCCTCTAGATGGGAAAAGCCCATCCACCAATTCCTCTTCATAGTTGTAAAGTTTGGAGATTTACTCTCGGTTTTGTTTAGATCAAATGTGAGATTATTCTGTCCCATTGGAGGAATTGTTTGTCAGGTATCTTTATAGGCAGAGCCTGAAAAGATAAAGGATCTTTGGTCAAAGGTTCATCTATTATATCTATTCCATGATGAAAGTTAATGGGTAACAAAGACCAAGGCTGTAGATCCGCCTTCATCTCTGTTGTCAGTGGGATGTAATTGCATTCAAACAGGTTGCATAACTCTACAGGGACTTTAACTCCCAGATATTTATAGATTTATTGAGCCACTTGAACCGGG